GAAAGGTCGCACGCCACTAAGAAAGTGAGACGATTAAATTATACTAATTGCCGTACATAAAAACGGTCTTGTCTGTGAGCGAAAACCATAAAGTCTGCCATCCACCCTCGCGTGTTGAGGTTTGGACAGAAGGCACCCATGTGCGGAGAGGATGGAAGTGAAAAAGACGGCGAGCGTAAAAATGGAATAAAGCGGGGAAATATCAAGCTGCTGTCCCTCGACATTTGGCGCGCTATCAAGCATCTGGTAAAGTTAACAATGAACGCAAATGACCGTGTTTTATTCCTCCCGACGCGTTGACTTTTTATAGACAACCACGTTGGCGTGTGCTACACAGCACACTGGACTGAACCCCCAGTTGGACCAGCTGTGGGCACGGGCGCATCAAGTAAACCACGGTCAAAAGCCAGGGGCAAGTGGAGGCATTGGGTATGTGCATGCTACTTAAACGGAAGTCCACAGGTGAAACCAAGGCTTCTTTGGTTGCTTCAGGAATTTTCGAAATCAATGACGACTATTGAATGTTGCTTCTTCCGCAGGTCCGGGTTGCAATGACAAATCGTTTCCCTGTATGTTTCAAGAAGTCAGCAGGTAGAAGCCGTCTTCAGTGATCGCGTATTTGTGAATCAACACGGGAAGAGACGAAGTTGACCAGGCTTAAAATTGAGCCGGATACACAGGCGGTTACCAGTTTGCGAGGACGAATGGTCAAGCTCATAAATCAAATCAGATCTATTCAGAGGCCGTTTCTTTCCCTCCTGCTGAGATTTCATTTGAAGGACAGCGGCGTGAATGTTTTCTTATAGGGGTGCGAGCACTGCAGACTGGGAAAATGTGAGCAGACGATAGAGTAGGGAAAATTACGTGGCATAAATACACATCTATCATCGATACCGTACCAAACACATTATGGAAGCAAAGCTTGGAAGTCCGTCACTCCCGCCCTTGTTTAGGGATAATCGCCTTTACTGGTTTGGAAATATACTGCGACCGCCTGAAGAATTGATTTTAGTGCATGCTGCGAGCATGAATTGTAGCCGGTACGAACCACAAAAAAGATTCCGATTGAATTTATAACTCAAAACCTGCACATCCTTGTCAGAGCAACCATCGGTAGACTTTGGCAATGACAATGGAACGGTTTCAACATCGCTACTGGCC